AAAAGGTTAACTCTGCTCCACCCGCAGCCACAATGTTTTTTTCCCTGATAGATGTGAAGATAAGCACTTGCCAGCCCATTCATTTTAAATAAATCTGTCCCTCTCGTAACACCAGTAAGCTCCTCTGTAATACAGCGCTTTAAGAACATTCTGGGGGTAAAAAGTGAACTATGACAAGAAAGTATAGCAATTTATGGCTTTCCCTGTGAAGAACAGTCTTTTTTGGTCTCTAAAAGCAAACACCTGTGGAATAATTCTCAATGGAACATTACTCTGCTTATCGTATGACAAACCCACTGCTAATTCTGGTTCAGCTCTGTATAGTTTTTCCACAGAGTCTAACTCTGTCTTAATATGCTACAGTATCCGTCCAATCAAGCAGACTCCCTACAAGTCACATGACCCTACCCCGAAGAGAGCTCAATGAGCTTTGCCATTACATCACCAGCTGTCTATAGATATGCACAATATGTCAACACTTAGTTTACCATTAGTCACCAGCTGACACTCTTATCCAGAGCACCTTACAATGGTTTAAGGAAACAGCCATCCTCCTACTGGGAATTAATGTGGCCACTATGTGGTTACAATCCCCTGTCCTTAAATATTTAAAGAGGTTCATCCACATTGCTGATATATTTCATTCCAATACACCACCAATTTCAAGCCTAAGAACAGTACACAAAAGGCTTCAGGCAATACGTCCAGAGAAATACTCCTTTTAGGAAATGCACAAACATTTTTTTATTCCTAATTAGAAGTTGACTGCCAAAAATCTGACCACACAACATAAGGAAGAATGAGAGAACTAATAAACTGCGTAGGCAGAGTATGAATGTGTGTGTGTTTAGACAGGGATGTGGTGACAGGAAGTAACTCCCTAAGTGGAATGTATTCCAGCTCAAAGAAGAACTCCAGCAGAAGCTGGGGCCGGTCCCGTGGGCTTTTCTACGCAAGACATAGGAAGGAAGTCTTTAGCACCAAGGCAGAGCTGTAGCTGCATGCTGGGAGCACCACCCTATAACGCCACCACCAGGGCGGCGCCAAAATCCTCTCCCCTTAGTAAAAGCATAGAACTTGTGAGATTTCAGTTCGCGCAAGTTTCAGGAAGCAAATTTACCTGTAATGCTACAGCATTTCTTTACTGGACTATACCTAGTTATGCATGACGCCTTCAGACTCAACTTGGCTCAGTGCAAAACACAAACGTTGCCTTTCTTTGTGTCTGTCCAACAGAGTTTCACATGAAGCATAACATGTTTTTCATGTTTAAACTGTGTTTCAGCCGTTCGTAACCCTTGATCCCCATATTAACGTATCCTAAATCCTAAATGTGTTAATTTCAGTGATTTTATTGAAATGTATACGAGAGGCTGTTTAATTGCATTCTTATTGACATTTTTATTACCGTTATCTTCATTGATGTTCATAAATAGCCGATCCAGTGCAGGGTTTTGGTCTTATTTTTTCTGCACACCCTATAACAGAACAGCATGATGGCTAATGCGTTTAATGAATCCCAAGGAGATACTGTGTTTATACATTTAATTATATAGCCCATAACATGGTTTAACCCTAAGATGCCCTCTAACCTGGATACAATGGGTCAATTCAGCTTAGCATCCATTTATTTTCCATAGCCACTTATGCAATGTGTTTATTTGATCATTTGTGGAAAGAGTACTTGTCAGACAAGCACTGAACTTAACGTCACTAGGACAGTGGTCAGGCCCTGGATCATTCGCTCTGGAAGACACACAGATGGATTCTTGTTATGTTGTTACTCAAGCACCAAGAATTAATATTTATTTATATTCATTTTGGGATAACCGAGTACTTAAGGCGATTAGATCAGCCATTCACTAGCTGTGCCACCAGCGTGAAAAGTGTTACCCGCTGTGTAGTGTTTGTCTGTTTTTGTCACATTTGGCAGCAAAATAAGCTTGTGTGTATGGGTGCTGGATTAGACCTCGCCGGAGCAGACAGGTGTGCACACATCACATGGGGGACGACACCAGGTGCGGATCTGTATCGGTCAAAATCTCAGTGCGGAGACATTGTAAACATGAACGCAATTCATCAGAGTGGTGCAAGGAAAACCAAGTTTGTTTCATTTTAAAACCATTAACAAAGTACAACTTGTAACTAAACTACCATCATTCTGATTCCAGTACGCTCCATTTTGTTGAAGATCCGAAGGCTACAAATTAAATATGACTGTAGCCTACATTCACTTTTGACTAAATTGTCTTTATCTTGAGGGTTCAGTATAATCATAATGACACGAAAAATATGCCGACTTCCTCACAGACCGAAAAGTTATACATGGTTAACAGGCAGTCAAATTTTCCTGAACTGTAAAAAATTCTTACAATTCTTACTGAGCAGTTTTGTGTGGCACATGAGACTGGAGTTTAAAATCTAGTTATACCTAGAATTACATCAATTTTACATGTTGCCATTCATATTCAAAGCAAAATTAGGCATGCAATAAATGTATAACAATTTAACATGCAACTCCTCATATATACTGTAGTAGAAAAATAAATCGCATATTTACTGATCGCACTGAGGATTCGGCAGTCTTGCAGCTTTAAGTATTTGCTGCATTTTTACATTGACCAGGGTTCATTGCATCATCTGCAGTTTAAAAGGGTTTGGTGGAGCCTTATTTAAATAAAGTTCAATACATGAATGGCAGTGACCCTGAGCAGGATAAGAGGTGGGAACAGGGCTGTTAGAACAGGGCTGTTAGAACAGGGCTGTTAGAACAGGGCTGTTAGAACAGGGCTGTTAGAACAGGGCTGTTAGAACAGGGCTGTTAGAACAGGGCTCCCCAACTATTTCTCCCCACGGGCCAAATTCTATCAGCAACACAAAGCCGAGGTTCATGGTGTCCAAAGAAAAAAAATTGTCTGCCGGCAATAAAATTCACAGACCGGGGGGGGGGGGTCATTAGATTGGAGTCTGCCAGCTGATGATCACTGGGTTAGAAGATGCATGGATGCATGGATAGATGTGGCTAAGCATTGAGTGGCACTATTTTGAGCAGAAAATGGTTTTTGGAGCACCTGAAACCCAAAGATTTGCAGTCAAAGACAATAGCAGTAACATTTTACACCATTAAATAATCAAGGTGGATTATAAGGACTTACCAAAGCAGGTGGTCAGCTGGTCAAACTAAAATTTCAATGTGTTTCTTTTCCAATCCTTACTGCTTTGTCAGAAATCAAAGACGAATGTGTCTACCTGCGAGTTTCGGTTTAGCGAGTTTCCATCACACTATTCCTGTCCAGCAGAGTTACCACACGGACAGGCCTGGTGTAAAACAGGGACGACCTGAAAGGGTTGTGGATAGGAGGCCACATCCACACACCTGGAGCATGCAGGGCACAACTTGGACTGCAGAGGGCGTAGCAGTTAAACCATTACTGTGCCTCCAAAAGCCTTAAACATACGGAAAACTCTGGAGGAGGTATTCCATAAAGCAAGACTGTTCAGTTAGGTTGGTGATAGTCCAATAGGAATGCTCCTTACCTAAACTCTTAGTGGACGGTCATGACTTCTAGCTTAAATTAACCCAGCTAAATGCGAAATCCTTCTTTGTGGAATATACCCTAATGCTGGTACCAAGCCGTCTTACATTTCAACTGCGCTGCATTACTCGCCAGTATTATTAAAAACCCAAACCAATGTACCTACTGATGAGTATAGCAAATGTGCACAACTGTTAAAGTTGAAAAAAGTGAAAGCAGCCTGTAAATTTTATTGGTAAGATGTCAGGAACTTTCATTAGGGAAGATCAGAGTGAAACCATAAGAATTTCAGTGATATCTGTCATCAGAATGAAATGATTCTATGCAGAGGGCCTTAACACAAATATTCTAGTGTATTTGAGTAATGAAATTGCAAAGACATCAGAATTATACCAATAGCACCTGTCAAAAAAGTAAATACGACGGTCTTAAGTCCAAGGGAACCTTCACAATGCATATTTTGTGCAACAGTGGGCTTCCTGCTTTTAATTTTGCATAAAATGGATTAAATGGATGGATTTAATGAGATGGCTTTAAAAAATATCATATTATTCTATCCTAAATGTCGTTGAATCGAGAGAAGCGTTATTTCACGTCTAAATAACTGAATTCGTTAAAGTAAGTATGATCACCCCAAAATACGTATATTGATGGTGTTTCACTCGCAAGTCCGACATAGTTCTGGGACAAATAATCCTGCTTCCAGGAAAACAGATACTTCGCTACAAAAAACACAAAGTGAAAGCATATATTACACCCTCATGCTCACGGTATAATGCACGACTGTCAATCCAGAACAAACGCACGACTTGACGCCTACAGGCGCACCGCTTTAAAATAAAATAATTACTTAATTATGTAATACACAATTACCCAGTTCGGTCCATTAGCTTTCAAAGACGTTCACAGGCAGTAAGTTTGTTTTGTATTAGGGTCGTGAAGGAAGATAAGGTCTTTTATTCATTGTTTTAAGTTGGGCATTCATACGAAAAATTACATAAGTATGCTAAACCATTACTTAAATCTCCATAGAAGAAATAATGCATGTAGACAGAAAAACCGCACAGAAGGCACTCGGTGCAATTTACATACCTACTTGCCAAGAGAAATTGCATGTGCGTCGTTTTCTTTCGACTCACGAAAACTGAAAGCTTTAGTAGTTTTTTTTTTCCAGAATAATACATCACCTGCATATAGACAATCTGCATACAAACGTAGACAAAAGAAGTCAAGGATTAAATCGTGTATTGAAAGTAGTCAGATTTCACACGTCAGTGTCGACAGACAGTTTAGTGCCCAACAAGTTGCCGATTCGCTTTTTTTTTGCACTTGCTTAAAATTCGCCCTCAGTTTTCCAGTCTATCAAGAATAAACCAGTTATTTGTTGAGGCACTGTTGCCACCGGTCCATAAACATATAGCTTTCTGCATGCTTGCGCGTACGAACAGTCTTATCAAGACTCACCTGTAAACGACGGTTGTCAAGAGGTAGAACAGCTTCCCATGGAACTGCAAGTTCCGCTACCAGCACCAGTTATAACATCCTGACGAAATCTTGTGCGACCCCGTTATCTGTCTGCATTCGCGGAAACGCGCCGACTCCGCTGCCTCTCGCCGTTTAAGGTGCGCGCTTCACATCCTGACAGACGGGCTTTCAGCCTCCCTGCGAAACGCGGAAACGTTCTAATGGGCCGAGCGTGCATGTGAATATGTCATCTGTGCAATGGCATAAAGATCCGATTTTAGGTGAAGGGAGGTGTTATGTTAATGAGAGCAATGAATATTTTTCCCACTGACAAGTGTTAGCCTGATTCATCAGTTATACCAAATACTCGGATACATCTCAGTCACTAAAATCGCAGTCACAAAATTATAAAATGTGTTGAGATAATTAGCAGACTAATCAGTAGGCCTACAAATCTCAACTGACGAGTGGATAATATTGATTTTAAAAAGTGTTCAGATTCATTTCATAAAACTTAATGGCCCATGCAAAACTTCAGACTCACCTTTCAGTCAACCACTTCCGTATAATAAGTCACAATGCACGTGGTTTTATAATAAAGTGCCTTTTTAATATCGAAAGGTACATTTTAAACTTTTTTGATTCGTAAACCCAGTTATCCCAATGCCCCATAACACTCAGAATGTATTAATTCAAAGTCACAAAATATATAGTTTGCAAAGGCTCTCTCTCTCTCTCTCGGAGATATATATATATATATATATCTCCATATATCTCCAATTCAACCAATATGTGAAAGGTTTACAAGTGGAGAGTGACGGGGGGGG